CAGCACCTGGGACTCAAACTGCAGCAGCTGGCCCATGAAGCTGAAGTTAGGGGAGATGATGCTCCGCCTCTGCTTCACAAACTCAAAGGCCTCATCCAGCTTCACTCGGTTAGTCCTCATGAGGTAAGCAAGGCAGATGGTAGCTGACCGGGAGATGCCTGCCTGGCAGTGGACAAATACCCTTCCTCCAGCATTCTTGATGGAATCTGGAAAACAAAGGGTGGCTGGTTACTTGACAGCTTAGAACCCAAGCCCAGGTAGAGGGTGTCCAAGAAATGTCATGAGTGTTCTTTCCAGAGGTGGTCAACATCACCCCATGCCAGCAATGGGCACTGTTAATGGAGGCATGGTGGGCACTGTACAAAGGACAGCAACTTGGGTTTAAATCCAGTTAGAATGAGTTTGGACAAGTCAATTCAATTATCTGAGCTTCATTTTGCCAATCTGGAAAGTGGGACATCAAGTCTATATTTTGCAGGGATGTTGCTTATGCCAGACTGATACTTAATATCTGGAGGAAGGCTCAGAGGAGGATCACTCAAGTCCTTGCCATCTAGGCTGGCTCAGTTGCTAAAACAAGTAAAGAGGTAGAAATGCTATTCCATTTACCTATGAAGTCAATTGCCTCGTTGAACCAGGAGCTGATGTCCGCCTTGTGATTGTCCTCCACAGGGATGCTCTTGTATTGGTAGTGACCCTCAAAATGGTTAGGACAATTGGCTGAAACATTGATCAAGGCAGTGATGCCCAAGGCATCCAGCATGTCCTTTCGGGAAGCATGATAGGCACTGCCCAGGTACAAAAAGGGCAAGATCTCCACTGGGCCACCCTGAAATCCAGAAAAAAATCCAATACTCGTCAAGCTTGCTCAGAGTCAACACCAGTTCCCACACCTTACAAAAGCTCCCTGCTGGAAAAGTGAGGTTAAAATGCCAGGTGACCTTCTCAGCACTGCTGATGGAGGAGAAATAAGTCAGGGAGACTTAGGCAGAGTCAAAAGGCTCATCTCTGTATTGCAGTAATTAAAGACTCAGCTCCACCAGCCCACTTAACAGGTGAAAAAATAAGATAAAATAAGATCCCCCCCCCCCCCGTATAAATAAAGCTGTGGTCACTTTCTATATTCTCACTGGCACCGCTCTTCCAGGTTCTGCCCCCTGGCACAGGGCCCTACTAACCTGATCGTACAGCGGGGTGCTGCAGGAACTGCATCCAGATTCTGCGCTGTTAGGAACACAGGTACTCAAGGGAAGGCTAAGCCCCATGGGGGTTGACTGTTTGCTGCAGAGCTCCGGGCAGGAAGCCGAAAACGCTTCATATCCTCCTGGGGAATACAAAGACACATTTTTTTCATTAACACCAGCAGGACCGAGCACCTTGAGACCACTCCCCCACACACTAGGGGCTGGGGGTTTACTTCCGAGAGGCTCAGGCAAGTCTTTGTTTCCAGAGCCAAACAAAGCCAATGACAAGTCCCCAGAGATAAGGTGCCCGCGCTCGCGCGCTCCAGGTGGGGGGCTCCCCTCCCGGGGCTGTGCGCCAGGAATCCCCGGCCGAGCCAGAGGCGGCGCGCTCGCGGCCCCGAGCTTCCAGGGCGCGTACCTTTGAGGAAGAAGACTTGCGCCGCGCGCGCCTCGCGGCAGAGCGCGCCCGCCGCCAGGGCCAGGGTGCCGTCGCGCTTGGCGCCGTCCAGGGCCGCGCTGCGCTCGTCCAGCAGCACCACGGCGTGGTAGGCTCCGGCCAGCAGGCGGCCGCGCAGCTCGGCGTTCGGCACAATGTGCTCCAGGCCCATGGTGCCCTTGGCCCGGCGCCTCACTATGGTACTGAAGCGCACGTTGACCGAGCCGGCGATGTGGCCGGCGTTGAACGCGAAAAAGGAGCGGCAGTCCAGCAACAGGCACTGCGCCGCGCGCTCTCGCAGCAGCGTCCGCAGACCTCCGGCGTCCAGGATGCCCACCTCCATGACCATGGCCGGCCTCAGCGCCCCCAGCGTGCCTGTCCCTCGGGAGCTCTTTGTCCTCGGAAGCCAAGGGCAGGGCAGAGACTTTCGAGGGAAAGCCCGACCCTGGGTCTCTTTGTGTCGAACTTTAACCTGTCCTTGGACTGAGCGAGGGGGAGCTGTGGGGGACTCCGGGCAGCTCCTCGGCTCGTCGCAGCTCCCTGACAGCCCTCGGGCTCGCTTCGACCTAAGCCAGCTTCTCCTTAGCAGCGCGTTCGGCCCGGGGGAGCGCTGTTATATGCGGCTCTCGGGAAGGGGGGGGGAGCGGGGCGGGGCCGTGCGACATTTAGGTATAAGCAATAACACAGAGTTTCACCATGCAGCCCAGGCTGGGCTGGGAGGCTCTATCCTAATGTCTCAGCCTCCTGACAGCTATGACTGCAAGTGTGTTCCACTGCATTTTGCTCTTTTGATTTTTGATTCTTACTCCTCCTGGCAGTAAATACATGCTCCCTAGCTGCAGTACATAAAAACTCAGAGTTGGTGTTATTGCTCAGCCATGCCCTTGGAGTCTTCTGGAAAACTCTCCTTTAAGTGCATGTGTTGCCTCTTACCTCCAGTTCTCCATTATTGTCACTGCTCTTCCTATTGACTTCCCCTGAGCCCTAGGCCAAGCCACTGCTAAGGTCTGAGCAATCAAGATGATGGACGAGGTTGGGTTTTGAGCAAGAAGGCAGGTCTGTTTTGACCTGGGACATACTTCCAACATCATAGTGGGTAACTGTAGTGTCAGAGAAAGTCTGGGTGGAAGGAGTTTGGAGGAGGTCTTACTATAGATTGCCCAATGCTTCTAAAGGGCAGAAACATCCAACTTCATGGTTTAGACTTCTTAGGATGTAAGACAACTGGTCATTACGTTATAGGCAAGACATATATCTTTCCAGAAATGTCCTACCATTTCAATTACGTTGTGGCTGGCCTCCAAGCCCTGGCCTCATAGGAGACTATTTTTCTTTTAGTGGCTGCTTTCCTAAAATCAAAGTCTCTGTGCAAAGCATTGGAAGAAACCTAATATTGTTTTCATAGGGTTTTTTGGGGTCATTTTATGTAATTTATATTAATGGTTATGATTGGTTTTATTAGGTGGAGAGGATTTGGGGGAGAAAAACCAGTGTGTTTTTGAGGGAAGAAGGTGATATAGAAGGAGGTCAAGGAATGTTGGTTGTTTACTGTAGTACTTAGTAAACTTAATGTGCGTATAAACTACTTGAGGATATTATTAAAATGTAGACTCAGTATTTCTCGGAGGGGTCCATGAAGAGCACTTTGGGTAGGGCCCCTTAGATCCCTGGCTTCTCTGGTTGGGATATTAGACAGGGCCAGATCGGAACCACAGCTAGAGCTAACTATCTTCTGAAAGTGATATATCAGAGAAGCTAGATTTCCGAGATTCTTTTTAGCTTTATTATTTTGATTTTAGGTTCTGTAATTCCAAGGAAGTTCTCAAACATTTGGGGTCACTGATCTCTGCAGAAACATCGAAAGCTAGGTATCTTCTCCTTCCCCAAATGCACACACAGTTCTGATGTTTTGCAAATCATTTTCGGTCCCCGCGCGCCAGCAGCCCTGGTCCAGGACCTGCGCCCATCCCCTGGGCCAGTGCAATCCTTACCCGGGCTGTCCCGCAGTTCAGCATCTGGCGCTGCCCTCACCTCAGGCTCGGGCGGAGGCGTGGCTGCGGGCGGGGAAGGGGCATGTCGGGGGCGGGGCCAAGGCGGCGCTCGCCGCGCCCTCGTCCGTGCGAGAGGCCGAGCTTGCTGCATTGCAGCCGCCGCGGCGCCGCTCGGCTCCTCACTCCCAACAATGGCGGCTCCGAGCCCGAGCGGCGGCGGCGGCTCCGGGGGCGGCAGCGGCAGCGGGACCCCGGGCCCCATAGGGTCCCCGGCGCCGGGTCATCCGGCCGTCAGCAGCATGCAGGGTAAGAAACGCGGCCGTGCAGAGACCCCGACCCCCTCGCGCAGCCATCGGCGTCGTCGCGGCCTGGACGCCCCCGACCCGGGCTGAGATAGCAGCCCGCGCCTTCTTCTCTGTCTCGCTTGCACTCCCCGCTCCGCTGCCAGCTGCCTCAGGCCGAGCCTGCCCCGGGCTGTGGCCTCGGCCTGCGCGCGGTCCTCCCGCCCCCCGGCCCTGCCCGGAGCCCCGGTCGCGCGCGGGGCCCACTGGCCCGGGACCGCCCCGCGCCGTCCCCATCGCAGCCGCCGCCGCTTACCTGGCGCCCGCCGGCCCGTTTCCGGGGCGCGCAGACCGGGCTGGGCGGGCTGGAGGCGCCGGCGGGCCTCGCCCCGCGTCCCTGCGGCCGCCCAGGTAGGCGGCGGCGGCGGTGTCCTGTCCGGCGCCCCTCGGTCGGCAGCCGCAGTGGGGCCCGCTCAGGGCCATCTTGACTGTCGTCAGGGCGCCGCCGGGGCCGGACCCCCGGGCCGACCTCGGGGCTCCGCGGCGCGGTTGGAACCTCAATTTCCAAACTTTCACAGGGTTTCTGTGGGCGGGGAGGAGCGGAGGGGGGTTTGCTCAGGCCTGTGCCACCTGTGAGGTAGGTAGACAGCCGTTGGCCTGCGGGAGACGTTTTGTTATAGGCTAGAGATTTCTATGTTAGCGTTACAAGCAGAAAATAAAAATAGAAGACTGAATTCGGTGTATATGGAGAGATACAGGAAATAGAAAGGCAAAGGTCAAAGTGATAGTGTCTGGACATCTGAGGCAGCTCTCCTGATTAATGGCTTTCCCACTGGGAAGGTTTTAGAGCTCCGCGTGGCTCTTGACAGGGCTGTTGTGAAAATACCAGGTCCAATCCCATTAGGGACCATTTCCTTAAGTCTACTGGGAAATTTTGAATAGTAATGCTATTTTTAAAGCACGGAATCTCATAAATCTGTTGACAACTTTGGCAAACTTCTTATGAGGTATGTTGAATTTTTAGCTGAATCGGTCAGGTTATGTTTGGTGGTATGACTATGGTTACTTTTGGATTAAAAACTACCTACCAGGCTCACTGTGTCTAGTTAGGATCCTCAGACATTTATTGAATATGTTGTATTTATGGAAGCATGCCGTGATTCAGGAAGCAGAGGCAGGATTTTATTACCTTTATATCTCTTCCATAATTTCAGTGTAGGGAAGAACTGATATATGGACAGGCTGATGTCAGAGGTCAGAGGACACTTTCTCTGCAGGCCGTAAACTAATTAATTCAAATTGAGTTAGTAATTGGATGGTCAGTATGTTGCACAGCACATTGTACAGATGAAGTGCAAGATTGGTTTCCTGATCTTACAACTTTGCCAGGCTAGTTGGTGGTAGTGGGAACTGAAACAGCAAAATGATAACTTAGGGCTGTTTGGCTTGTCCAAATTTGTCAACTTATAAAGCTTATATAAATATTTCAAGTTTTGGGTTTGGTTGGGGTGGGGAGGCTAACAGTTTGAAAAACTTTGTTTTTTTTTTCTTGTCAAATACTTATCAAGCATCTGCCCGGAGCTGGGCATAATACTGTAGTGCAGAGTATATTGAGAAGAGTGCATTGGACAGTCTCCCCCTGGTGGAACTTACCCTCTTGTGAGGCTAGGGAAAGGAAGACAAGATGCCGGTGAATAAGAAAAGTTTACTAATTGAGAAAAGTGTTGTTAATGTCACAAACTGGACTTTGTGATGGAACATAATAGTAGGTCAGTCTGCTCGCTAAGATGGTCAGAGAAAGCCTGTCTGGAAAGAATAGAAGATTTTAGGTGGAGTTAATAGTGTGAATGTTCCAAAGAAGGGAAGAGTTTGGAGTGTTCTAGGAACTCAAAATAAGTTATGTGATTAGCAGTTATTTTGCTGATATCCATTCTCCTCCCCTAACTCTGTTTTTAAAAAAATTTTTTTAATGTCCAGTGAACTGTAGTTTCTAATAAGCAGAACCCATTTTAAAAGGGGAAGGGGCCCCAAACCTCTTTGAATTATTGCTGAATTTTATCATTATTTTGTTTATCTTTGATTCACAAACATACCAGTATTATCTTGTTGAATCTCTTTGGTTACTCAGAATGGAGAAAAGAACTTAAAATTCTCAGGGTGTTTTTTAGCACAATCCTAGATATAATGCTTGAGTTTAAGCAGAAATTTAAGATCTGTTTTTTTGTTTTGCTGCTAGAGCCAACTTTCTGTTGCCTTCCAGTGACTTTCTTTGGCTATTTTATTATTTTTGGTATTGGGATTTGAACTCAGGGCTTTTGTACTGAGCTACATCCCCAGCACTTTTTTTATTTTTAATTTTGAGGCAGGGTCTCACTAGTGGCTAAGTTGCCTAGCGTCTTAGTCGTTTTCTTGTTGCTGGGACAAAATATCTAACACCCACAACTAAAAAGAGGAGGCTCATTTTGGCTCATGATTTCAGTCTGTGGTCAGCTGACTTGGAGGTAGAAAGAGCATGGGGGGAGGCGGGGAAATGGTGGAGGAAAAGGTGCTCAACCCATGGCAGGCAGGAAGCAGAGAGAAGAGGAGCTAGGGAGTCAGATACAGGCACACCCCCCGTGCCCTGCTCTTCAGATTAGGCCCTACCACTTTAACAGTACATTCAGCTCTGAACTCATGATCCAGTAGGGCTCCCATGATCCAGTCACCTTCCAGAAGCCCCATTTCTGAACACATGAGCTTCTTAGGGCACCTTCTAGATAGAAACCATAACACCGAAGCCAAGCTGGAACTTGCAGTCCTGTCTTACCCTCCCAGAGTGCTGGAATGTGCCACCATGCCTGGTTTTATTTATTTTTCAGATGGCATCTTGCTATGTTGCCATACTGGTGTCAAATTCCTGAGCTTAAGTGATTGTCTTGCCTCAGCTTCCCAAGTAGCTGAGACTGCAGGTGTGCACCAGTAAGTCCAGCTCTTTTTTTCTTTGGTGTTAGATCAGACTTCACAGAATGGTTCTTAGAAGATGTTCGGTGTTCTGCCACTCCCTCTGCCAAATCTGCTTCTACTTGTATCCCAAAAAGTGCCTTTCTGAGAGGAGTTAATATAGACCATGGCCTTCTAACCATCAGGATTCATTTGTGGGATGTATGGAATATATTTAATCCAACAAACCTTGGACATCCCCCAAGGGATAGGAACTATGCTGGGCACTGGATGGTCCTGCATACTTTTTCATGGCTTGACATTTGTATCCCCAAAGTAGTTCAAATCGGAAACTCTTTTTTCTAATGTTATAGTGTTTAAGAGCCGTAGCTCTGGTGTCCTGGATTTGAA